CCTGAGAATGCTCACCGGTATCTGGGATAGCTCAGTTGATAGAACATGAGACTAGAATCGCAAGGTTGTGGGTTTGAGCCGCATGTTAGGCAAAAGATTCCTGCATTGCTGGAGCTTGGGCTAGCTGGCTGCCAAGGGCACTTTGACCTCTACAGTTCTATGATTCTGATTCACTATTCTGAACATGAGGAATTAGTTCCCAAACCTCGCTATACACACCACAGATTCAGATATCTGAATGGCTGGAATTTGCCCACTTCCTTACTTCTTTGTGCTTTTCTGGTTGGTGGAAACAGCTTTTGTGCAGAAACCATAGTAGTAGTAGTAGTAATAGTAATAGTAATAGTAGTAGTAGTAGTAATAATAATAATAATAATAATAATAATAATAATAATAATTTATTATTTCTATCCCGCCTATCTGGCTGGGTTTCCCCAGCCACTCTGGGTGGCTTCCAACAAAAGATTAAAAATACATTATCATCAGTCATTAAAACCTTCCCTAAACAGGGCTGCTTCAGGTGACTTCTAAATGTCAGATAAACCACGCAGGGAAGAAGAGACGGAAAGAAAGCAATCAGACTGATCAATGAGCAGGGTAGGACCAGTTTTTCCTTTGTCTCTCTTGTGCTGATGGGCTGCAGCCATTTCAGGAAGAAACCATGGCAGGAGGAGAGGAGAGAGAAATTGCCAGCTTGTTATGCAACTGTGTGCCTAATGAACAATTTCCTGGAAACACATTGTGTTCAGAAACCTCTGCACATAGAACACTAGTGCAACTGGGAAGGGAGCTCTAACCACTGCCTTTTTTAAAAATAGAAGTGGAGCTTGAACTCAACGGTGACTCCTGTACCTGTCTTGCCACAACCACCATGAGTGCTGCCAGCAAGGCGACCAGGGCGCACATGGCCAGCAGCAGAGCACAGTGCATGATAGTGGAAGATTCTGGAACACCATCATAAGTCAGTGTTCTGGAATAGATAGACCGAAAGGTCTGTCTTCCTACATGGTAGCCTCATAGGATTTCAGGAATGATTTGCTGGAAACATGTTTCTGTTAAGTTGTGGGTGAACATATCAGATGACTCAGCGATTCTTCAAACAGCTCTTCTTTATTCAGATGCCAGAACAGAACTGAACTGAGGAGCTCAGTCAGCCTGTTATATAGAGCTCCAGAACAACGTAACTGTTGCAACTTTCTAAAACTATCCAATCACTGAACATCACTTTCGATCCTTTATTTGCATACAAACTATCCAATCACTGAATGTCACTTTCGATTTGCACTTCATTTGCATAACTATCTACAGTATCCCCCTGCTGGCCCAGGGTGAGAACTTCAGTACATAACAGTTTCTTTCAACCTACTACCTATGAAGAGTGTGTGATGTTTCGTATACCCTCTTGATCAGCTTTCCCCCTTGAGTCTTTCAGAAGCGCATCACAGATGGAAAGCACAGGAACTGAGCTCCTTCAGTTCCTCCTGTCCCCCCACTGCATTCATCCTTTTGTGTGCACAAAACATTTCATGGTAGTTAGACAATGGGTCATATCTAGCGTTACTCCTACTCAGAGCAGAGCCATTGCGTTTGATGGACATGACTAAGGTAGATTAATTTCAATAGGTCTACTCTGAGAAAAACCTATGTAGTTGGCCTGTGTCTGGCCTTTATTGAGCATTTGTTCCAGTTTATAAGGCAATGGCAGGGATGTGGGTGGTGCTGTGGGTTAAACCACAGAGCCTAGGACATGCCGATAAGAAGGTCGGCGGTTCGAATCCCTGCAATGGGGTGAGCTCCCGTTGCTCGGTCCCTGCTCCTGCCAACCTAGCAGTTCGTAAGCACGTCAAAATACAAGTAGATAAATAGGTACCACTCCGGCGGGAAGGTAAACGGCGTTTCCGTGCGCTGCTCTGGTTCGCCAGAAGCGGCTTAGTCATGCTGGCCGCATGACCCGGAAGCTGTACGCCGGCTCCCTCGGCCAGTAAAGCGAGATGAGCGCCGCAACCCCAGAGTCGGCCATGACTGGACCTAATGGTCAGGGGTCCCTTTACCTTTATAAGGCAATGAGCATCCCTTCTGATTTGCTTGCTGCATGTTTACATGCCTTTCCATCAGTCACTCTCCCACCCTTTTCAGTGTGTTTCCCCACCATTTTTCAAACTGTAAAAAGCCCCAATTCTTTTTTTAGAGTGAATTTGTTGCGCTAAGGGTGACAGAGCACTTTAATCCACCTTAATTGCACAAACCCAAAGTTCCAGTAAGCGCTTGAGTCCCTTCTGCAAAATACTGACCATCTGGAGTCACCCTTAGCTTTTAAAAACAGTGAGATTTGGAATCCAGAGCCATTTGGGAATACAGGCCGAAAGCCTCCCTTCTAATGAAATTCTGTTTGAGACTGTTAAGATCCCACTCACCCTGGTGGCAGGAGGCCAAGTCAAACTTCTGGGTCCAGGCTGGTTCATTCTCACTGGAGCATATTTAAAGAGCCTTTCTTTCTTTTTCTTCCTCCCCCTCCTGCGCCTTTTCCTCTTAGGCTCTCTTTTAGTTTAATGTGCTAATTTGGCACATAAGAGCCAATGCCCATGATATCCTGTTCCTTAGGAAAAGACGCCAGGATAGCACACTGTAGACTTACTGTTCCAGCCTTGGTCCGGCTTGCTTTAATTAAAAAGCTCACTTGTTGAGCCCTCCAATTAATTGGGTGAAGCTGCAGCTATGGAAAGCGAGTGGAGGGACCTTCTATGATAGAGGAAATGCTGGGGTGAGGGGAGTGGGGAGAGGAAGGCTAAAAGATGAAAGATAATACATACGGTACTCCTGGTGCAGTATCAATGCTGGGGCTCGTAGGTGCTTGTCTGTTTAAAAATTTGACCTGTGTGTGTTTGCTTCTGAATCAGAAACTTGTGAGTCAACATTTTACTGGTGCATAAGAAGCTGCCTTATACCAAGTCAGACTATCCATCCATCCCACTCAGTGTTTACAGTGAATGGCAGTGGTTCTCCAGGGATCCAGGGGCCTTTCTCAGCCCTGCCTGGAGATGCCAGCAGTTGAACCAGGAAACTTTTGTGTGCAAAGTCTACCACTAAGCTATAGTGGGAGCTATAGGAACCCAGGAAATTGCCTTATACTGAGTTTGGCAGTCGGTCCATCTAGCAGTGCCAGCCCACCCATGAGGCAAGGTGAGGTGACTGCCGCATAGCTGTCAACTTACAGATTTGAAAATAAGGGAACAGCAGCCTTGAAAATAAGGGACCAGCAGTCAAAATAAGGGACCTGCAGTCTCACCTCTTCCAGGCACTCCAGTCTTCCTGTCCTCCTGCAGTCTGGTCAAACTCATGCTGGTAGCTTCGAGAATACTGTCCAACCAACTTTCTAACCAGAGGTTCAACTGAATAGAATCTGAATCACATGCACCACAAGGCCTATGCAGCCTCAACTTAAGATGGCTCCCTGGCCTGGCTTTGCACTGCAAAGTTTGCAGCAGCACGTGCAACAAAATGGCGTCCAGCATTCAAAAAACCTCTCAGCTTGCATTAACTAGCCACACACAAGGCATGCAAGCTCCACCCCCCCAGTCGTTCTTAGACTTCTTATTGGGTGAGCAACACAGCCAAGCAACACAGTTGGAGCCTCCCTCCTCCCTGGCTGGCAGGGAGGGAGGGAGAGGAGCTGCTTCCTTTGAAATTGAAGGGACATCATTTAAGGGACATTTAAGGGACATCCATCAATAAGGGACAGCAGTGGGACATGGCGCTGGAATAAGGGACTGTCCCTTCAAATAAGGGACACTTGACAGCTATGGACTGCCGTGGGCAGCAGGATCCATAGGGGTAGCAGATGACCTAGCCTCCAAGGAATGCATTGCCCACTGCCCCCATATGCTCCTTGGAGGACGGATCTGACTCCTCGTCCATGCCAGCAACTCCCCCATCCAGCTCCACAGCAGTCTCTCAACGAAGAGGAGGAAATGGTGGGGCTGCCCTCTTAGGTCTCCTGGGCTCTGCACTCTGCACTCACCTGGTAAAATATACTCAGAGTCCTGTAGTGATTTCATGTTCTTTATAGCAGCTTGTAAAACAGTGATTGAGTTGCCCCCCAAACCTCAGGCTTTTATATACATTATTTACACAATGAGTCCCGTCTGAATAGCTGATTCTGCTTCCCTCCTGGAGCCTGATTGGTCTTTTCCTGCAGGCCAATCAGTTGTTACATTCTAGAATCCTACCAGCCTAATAGGCTGTGTTATGTACTGAGTTGAATAGGATCCAAACTGCAGCAGTCTGATTGGTCCTAGAACAATAGGATCCAAATTGCAGCAGTCTGATTGGTCCTAGAACAATAGGATTCAGAATGCAGCAGTCTGATTGGTCCTAGAACAATGCAGCAGTATGACTGGTTGGCAGGAACCACCCAATCATGCTCCAGATATAAGTGAATCCACAACCTGATTGGCTTACAGTAGAATTCCAGAATTAGCCAATCATGTGCAGCCCATTGTGTAAATAATGTATATAAAGCAGATACTTGGAGGGGACTTTCATTCATTCCTCCTCACCACTATGAGCTGAATAAAGAGCATGAAATCACTTTGCGACTCTGAGTATATTTCACTGGCGACGAAGGTGGGATCCTGCTGAGCTGACTGCCACACACAGCACCGCAGCACCGCCACCTGCCGCACCGCTGCCTCGCACCGTGTATCCAGGCTTCAGCTCCGGGGCACAAGGAACTCAGAATGGCAACCAACAGCAGCTTCTCGCCGTTCAGCCCAGCATCTGGTCTTTTCCTGCAGGCCAATCAGTTGTTGCATTTTATGATCCTACCAGCCTAATAGGCTGATTAACTTCCTCCTGGAGCCTGATTGGTCTTTTCCTGCAAGCCAATCAGTTGTTGCATTCTAGGATCCTCCTTGCCTATTGTTCTAGGATCCAAGCTTAGTACATAACACCTGGCATGATTCAGAGTGGGCCCCTTCCCCCACCTGCAGAAGACTTTGATTCCCACCTCAACAGTCAGTAGAGCATGAGACTCTTTATCTCAGGGCTGTGGGTTCAAGTCTCATGTTGGGGAAAAGATTCCAGCATTTCAGGGGGCTGGACTAGATGACCCTCTGGTCCCTTCCAACTCTACAATCTATGATTCCATGATTGGGTAAGATTGATTTGATTCCTCCCCATGTTCCTGATGTTGATATTCACCCCCCCCCTTTGTGCCTAATGTAGATTTTCACTCACCCCTCCTGTCCTGGTGGGGGACGCCATTTTGTGGTTCGCCTCAGGTGCCAAAATGTGTGTGACAGAGCTTACCATCTAGCTTAGTATTGTCTGCATGGGTTGGCAATACCATTCCAGGGTTTCAGACCAGAGTCTCTCGCGGTGCTGCCTGGAGACTCTGGGGCCTGGTCAACACAAGAAGCAGATGCAATGCCATTGAACCACAGCCTTTGACCAATACAGAATAATTCGGAACTGGTATATGAAAGGATGATCCAGACTAATTGGAATCTCTTTTTTATATAGTTGTATGATTTTTCAGCTCATTGATCCTTTATTTCTCTCCCCTGTCCCCGTTTTTCCACTTTCTGTCTTTTCCATTTTTCTCTGTTATGTTTTCTTTTTTAGTTAACAATTACAGTAAATAGCTGGAATACTACGGTATTGTTTCTATGTCATATAGACTGAGGATGTATAAGTGTTCTATATTATATAGATTGAGGATGTTTAAGTGTTATGCATTGTTAAATTGTTATTGTGTTAAAAGTGCAGCAGGCTAGGAGTTAAGGATTGCCATGTTTCAGTTCCCCAAATCTGGGCGGCACCAGCATCATACTAATTATGCTGATTTTGCACTCTTCAGTTTTTTTGTTCAGTTTTTAAAAAACGCAACTCATCTGCATTCAAATCCAGGGAGCACAAGTCTTAAATTCCCCCTGGAAAGAGAGGGGAATCTGGAGTGGGAACTGTTATGTACTGAAGTTCTCACCCTGGGCCAGTAGGGGGATACTGTAGATAGTTCAGGTCCACATATGCAAATAAGGGATCGAAAGTGACGTTCAGTGATTGGATAGTTACAGAAAATGGTTACTGTTGCGTTCTAGTGGAGCTCTATATAAGCAGGCTGGCTGAACCCTTCAGTTCAGTTCTGTTCTGGCCTGTGAATAAACAAGAGCTGTTTGAAGAATCGCTGTGTCGTCTGATATGTTCACCCACAACTTAACAGGAACTGAACCTACAACGCTTCTGGATGACAGACTTGCCTGGAAATTCAAACCAGTCACCACCCTGCCTCTAACTTGCAATAGCAGACTGTCAACCAGTTTTTATCTCAGCCACAGTTCACTTTCAACTAGCAATACAGTGGTACCTCTAGTTGTGTTCTGCTCTTGTTACGGACTTTCAGCTTACGAATGCGGCAAACCCAGAAGTGTTTACTTCCGGGTTTGCCATGCATGCATGCATGCGCAGAAGCGATCTGCGTGCTTCGTGCATTCGCAGAAGCAATCTGCGAGCATGCGCAGCTCGATCACGCTGTGCACATGCGTGGAAGAGGCACTCTAGTTGCAGATTTTTCGGGGTACGAACGGCACCCCGAAATGGATTAAGTCCACAACTAGAGGTACCATTGTACAGTGGTACCTCGGGTAAGAACTCAATTTGTTCCGGAGGTCCGTTCTTAACCTGAAACTGTTCTTAAGCTGAAGCACCACTTTAGCTAATGGGGCCTCCTGCTGCTGCCGTGCCGCCGGAGCATGATTTCTGTTCTCATCCTGAAGCAAAGTTCTTAACCTGAGGTACTAATTCTGGGTTAGCGGAGTCTGTAACCTGAAGCATCTGTAACCTGAAGCGTCTGCAACCCGAGGTACCACTGTATAAGGAATGATCGACCACATTTGCTTCAGCAGGGCAACTGTGGTTTGGTCTGCACATTTCTTCGAGAAGTGTAAATCTCTCCCCTATTCCTAGCCCATCCAGAGGCCAACAAGCACAACAGGTGGTCAGGAGCTATGGAACCTGTGACCACCACCATTAAGGTGTCTGGAGTCTTCTCCCTCTGACTGCCTCCACACCAGGGACCCAGATACCCAGCTGCCCCATCAAAGCAGGCAATGCACCTGAAGGTGGGGGGATGTAGCAGAAAGGAGTGCTATTGCTAGGCTGTAAACTAGAGTCCTGCCCCTTTGAGGTCCTCCATTCCTCAAGGAAGAGGTGGAGCCTGGGAGGAGCAATCTGGTCCTGAAAGTATAAAAACTTCCAGTCCACAGCCCACTCTGTGACTTTCTTGGAAGTGTTGCTCATGTTTTGAGATATTCCAGGTCTACTCCAGGTGACATATTCATTGAGCATTTATCCTGGTGTGCTTGCACAAAGTTTATGAGCAGGTTAGGTCATTTTTAAAATTTGTTTATTAAATTTGTTAGCCACTTTATCTTGCTCAAGGCAACTAATCTGGTGTTTATCCTGATTTGCTAGTGAGGTTCTAGCATGCCTTCCCATTAATCCCAGCCTTTTCAATGCATATCCACGTCACTTTCCTAGCAGCAAAAAAGTCACTATTTATATGTGTGTGTGTGTGTGGAATTAAAGTAGCTTAAACCATTTTGTCACCAAAATCATGCCACCTGCTGATATGTGGGAGATGTCAGCAGGCCTAGGGTAACTGGGCAAGTTAAGGGCCACTAACATTAAGGACGGCCTTATTCATTATATTATTATTACATGTAATGCCACTTGCATGTTGAAATGTCTTTTAAGCACTTTCCAAATATAAAATATATGCTAAAATCTATACATTGCTCAAATGGGAGTGTCTTCAAAAGCTGGTGGAATGCCAATATTGATTGGGGCCACTCATATTTCAGCAGGGAGGACATTCCACAACACTAGTGAAAAACCCGCCTCCACATCACCACAAGCAGTTATATCCCTTCCCAATCACTGCAACCTTTGGGGGAAGTTCTGTTAGTGTGTCCCGTCCCCCCCTCCCCGGTTTGGAAGCAGAGCTCATATTCACCAGCAGCCATGCATTCAGTGTTGTGGATTTGACACTGTGGAACCCCATTTTGGCTGAGATCCGAGGGGACACCTCTTTGTCTCCTCCAGGCATTGGATGACCTTTCCATTCCACCAGACATTTTTTTAAAAAAGTAAATTGTTCTTGTTGTCTTAGTCGTGTTCGACTCTCCGTGACCCCATGAACCAGAGCATGCCTTGGAAACTCTCACTTTCTTCTCAAAGCTTCTCCTTTTTTTATGTCCAAGAGTTTTCTTGGCAAAATACTGGAGTGGTTTGCCAGTTCCTTCTCCAGGTGGATCACATTTAGTCTAAACTCTCGGCTATGACCTGTCCATCTTGGGTAGCCCTGCACAGCATAGCTCATAGCTTCTCTGAGTTATTCAAGCCCCTTTGCCACGGCAAGGCAGTGATCCGTGAAGAGGAAAGTAAATTGTACTCTGCCTATTTATGTATGTTTCTGCTTTGAACAATGTATTATTTTTATTGAAGGGTTGTTTTAATGATTGTTGTGTAGATCACTTTGTAGCTACCTATGGTAAAGAGTCACCTCTAAATACTGGAAATAAATAAATAAGCAACCCCAAAGTCGCAGAAGGACTAAAAATCCTGATGGTGGCGGTGGGAGGGACCTCAAGAAAAACCTAGAAGCATCTCCATGAGGACTGGGCACGCTCAGTGGCCATGGGATGGCAACTGGCTGCAAAGTTCAGTTTGTTTCAGTTTCTCACTTTTTCAATTGTATGTTCAGTTATCCACATTTCCACATGAGTTTGCGATTTTATTTTTTTAAGTCCTCATATAAATTTGTTTGCATTTTAGTTCTCCTTTCTCCTTACGCAAAACAATTTCCTCTAATATGTATCTCCATAAGTTGTTTTCACTAAAGTATGCATATTTATGCAAACTTCGGTTTACTCTATGCATTTATTTATTTTTACATGCTACATTACGATGCAAATTTCAGTGCAAATTTCAAAGGATTCAGTGTTTCAGTCCGTGTATCATTTTGGTACGAGGAAATTTCATGGGTCTGCCTTTAAATGCGAGCTGAATCAAATTTATTTCCCCATTCCTAATAACAGTTGGAGGGCGACAATAGAAACTGGGGGACTGGGGAGAATGGAATGGGGGTGGCGGTGGGGAAATCACTCCACGCTGAAGCATTTTGTTTCAGAGCCTGCTTGTCTATTATATTGCAAGTCTAACAGAGCTGAAGCATGCAGGGGTTTCTGTACATCTGGCTTTTGTGGTGACCTGAGTTGGCAAATGTTGGCTGTTGAGAGCTGAACTAGGTTTTGTGTTTTCATGAAAGCATCTTTCATCCTATGTTTGGGCCTGGCATGGGCCACTGGTTGGCACCAGAGGCTTGGAAGCCAAAAATGATCTGAGGATAGGTTAGCTCACCTGAGGTCACTTTTAGCACATGTAATTTGTCTGTCTTGTGCCAAGAAAGCCCATCATAAGATTGTTTATGGATTCTACTTGGGGGAATAAAATTAAAGGGGGGGGGGAGGCTGGGAGGATGCTAGCTTTCATTTGCCTCCCGCCCCCAAAGTTTGTATGCTTTCAGAAATGGTGCTTCTCCCTTCTCTCTTAATTGTTATTTACATTTATTCATTCCCCCCACCAAAGACGTCTTTGAGCGATTTAGACTTCTTAAAATACACATAGCACAACATGCATTAAAACCAGGTACATAAAAACTGACAATAAAACTAAGCCCCTCCAAAGCACATCACCTTGAGACATTCTAGTATGAATTAAGTAAATTTGTGATAATAACAAAACAGAGAAAAAGGGGTAGTCATAATGATGAAAAGAGAAGACAAGGAGCAATTTCCCTACAAATGAATGTTAAATAGTTTGGAGGAAATTAGCTTTAAAGAAAAAAATCAGGGGAGGTGATGACATTATTATCAGTCTGGCGATATTGTGTGTGTATCCTTGCTGGCATCCATCTGTCTCGGGAGACAACGGAGGAGTGTGCCTTTGAGGGTGAAGTCAAACTGCTGGAAGTTTGCAGCGCCTGCTGTGGCTGTAGACACTGATGCGGGAGAGACATGTTTTTGCAGATAAAGTCGCTCAGATTCAGGAAGATGTAGACTCCACCGTAGGAACAGGGCCGGGGCAGGAGAGTGCCAGAGTCCTGTCTAGTCAAGTTGAATGGGATCAATTCCAATCTGTTACCTCTGAGGATGTGGACAGTCTGCTTGGATGAATGAAACCAACCACCTGTGTCCTTGATCCTAGCCCATCCTGCCTTATAAAAGCTAGCCAGGAAGGGCTGGGTGATGGGCTTCACGGAGTGGTGAATGCTTCTCTCTGTGAGGGAGCCTTCCCAGACCCATTGAAAGAGGTGATTATCAAACCGCTTCTTAAAAAGCCATCTTTAGATGCAGCCAATATGGCCAGCTATCGCCCAGTCTCAAATCTTCCATTCTTGGGCAAGGTGATTGAGCGAGTGGTTGCTGAACAACTCCAGGCACGCCTGGAAGAAGCAGATCCCTTCCAGTTGGGATTCAGGCCTCCTCATGGGACTGAAACGGCTATGGTTGCATTGGTCGATGATCTCAGGCAGGCTAGGGGCAAAAGTGAGAGCTGTTTGCTAGTTCTGCTGGATCTTTCAGCGGCTTTTGATGCCATAACATCCTTCTGGGCTGTCTAGAGGGGCTGGGAGCTGAGGGCACTGTTATACAGTGGTTCCGCTCCTTCCTCCTGGGCCGTGTTCAGAAAGTAGTGGTGGGGGTTGAATGTTCAGACCCCTGGGCTCTCACTTGTGGGGTGCCTCAGGGTTCTGTCCTCTCCCCCATGCTTTTCAATATCTTCATGCAGCCACTGGGAGAGATCATCAGGGGGTTTGGGCTGGGTGTTCATCAGTATGCGGATGATACCCAGCTCTACTCCTCTTTCAAATCAGAACCAGTGATTTGAAGGCGGTGAAGGTCATGTGTGAGTGTCTGGAGGCGGTTGGAGGATGGATGGCAGCTAACAGATTGAGGTTGAATCCTGACAAGACAGAAGTACTGTTTATGAGGGACAGGAGGCAGGCAGGTGTGGAGGACTCCCTGGTCCTGAATGGGGTAACTGTGCCCCTGAAGGACCAGGTGCACAGTCTGGGAGTCATTTTAGATTCACAGCTGTCCATGGAGGTGCAGGTCAATTCTGTGTTCAGGGCAGCTGTTTACAAGCTCCATCTGGTATGCAGGCTGAGACCCTATCTGCCCTGTCTTTTTAAAAAACATTTATTTTATTCAAAGTTATAACAAGACATATTATCCAAAAACATATCCTTATTCCCCACCTTTGAAGGTGACCCAGAAACTGCAACTAATCCAGAATGCGGCAGCTAGACTGGTGACTGGGAGTCGCTGCTGAAAACACATAACACTGGTCTTGAAAGACCTACATTGGCTCCCAGTACATTTCTACGCACAGTTCAAAGTGTTGGTGCTGACCTTTAAAGCCCTAAACGGCCTCGGTCCAGTATACCTGAAGGAGCGTCTCCACCCCCATCTTTCTGCCTGGACACTGAGGTCCAGCTCTGAGGGCCTTCTGGTGGTTCCCTCCCTGCGAGAAGCCAAGTTACAGGGAACCAGGCAGAGGGCCTTTTTGGTAGTGGCACCTGCCTCGTGGAATGCCCTCCCATCAGATGTCAAAGAGAAAAACAACTACCAGACCTTTAGAAGACATCTTTTTTTTTTTTTTTTTACATAATTTTTATTAACAGGCCAATCCAATCACATTATTTCCAAATCATATTACTTCCAAATTATACAGCCAGATTTTAAAATTTTCTTGGGGGTACCCTTACATCAAGCTCCGAACGAGAATCAAAACATCACTTCTGTTACTGCTTTTATCAAACGGTTCTATCCAGATCTGTCCAGATAGTCTCTTTATTACTTCTTCATCTTCTTGTTGTTATCATGTATTCCTTTCTTTGCAATCTCTGATAGTCTTTACAAGCAGGTTAGGAACAAACAACATCTGCGTGGGTTTTGCACACTCCAAAAGTCATATCTCATAAGGACAGCCGCCATTCCTCCCCTTCTTCAAAGATTTATCCTCGGTCCGTCCTATTAATTTTCCCAAGCTTGCCACGTATATCACAAAGGGGCTCTGCCAGGTTATCACATTCAATCCATCATTTACATTCCAATACCCTGGTCCTCCCCTCGTCTTTCTTCGACAAGTCTGTCTTAGCAAGACGCCATTAAAAACTGCTTCATAGAATTTTTCCTCCGCACTCCATATTTACCAGTCCTCTCTTCAATCAATAATTCACTCCACACAGCTCTTAAATTCTTGCTTGCGATTAGTAAAAGGGGACGATTCGTCTCTCTGGGGTGGAGGTTTATAAATACTCACATGAGACAAAGAAAATAAAAGTTTTTTCCTCCACCCTCCCTCTTTTTTCGCTCCGCACATACCAGTCTCATAATGGTGGTTCATCGCTTGATTTATTTGTCTCCTCTCGTCGCTCCAAACACAGAGATGCATTAATCAGCAGCCTTATCTCTCGAACTTTGCTTGATGTAAGTGCTTCAGCTTCATTCCAATTATATATTTCCAATTATATTTTCGAGCTGAAGCGAACCAGGGCGCTGATTGGAGACAGCGTCAGGAAGCGCCGAACCCACCGAGGGCTGATGCCAAATGTCCTGCACCCCCTTCGACCTTTAGAAGACATCTGAAGGCAGCCCTGTTTAGGGAAGCTTTTAATGTTTAACAGACTATTGTATTTTAATATTTTGTTGGAGGCAAATTGATGCACATGAGCTTTTCTCTGATCTGTTGATGCTGATAGTGTGTTGTTTTGTATACATTTCAATACTTATTCAATTTTTGAAAGCTGACTTAGTTCTGTGAATTTTTGAATAATTATTTATATAATTGATACCCTGTGTTTCCACTCCAATGTCTTCAGGATAGCTTGGAATTCAAAAGTAGAGTGATGCCAAATAAAATCCACAAAAATTCAAGTGAATGGTCTAAAATTAGGCGCAGGACAATAACAAATTCAGTGGCAGCAAAACAAGCAGCCAAGAAACGGCCGAGCAAGAGCTGCTTTATACCAAATCAGAGCATTGCCCCATCTGGTTCAGTATTGTGGACACTCTGGAGGCAGCATCTCTCCAGGGTTTTGGACAAGCATTTCCCCCAGCCCTTCCTGGTGTAGGGAAGTGAGAGAATGCCAATGAGAATGGAAAAGGAAGTGGACATTGCCGCAGTTTATGTGTTTATCTGTGGTCAGGAATGGCAAGCGTCAACCGCATTGCAGGGGGCTGGACTAGATGACCCTTGGGGTGCCTTCCAACTCTACAATTCTGTGATTCTATGAATGTGATCAACATTCATTTACATTGTCATTGCTCTTCTGATGTTTGCAAATGTAATGGAAGACTTTTTTTTTACATTGCTTTGATGTTTCCTTTGCATTGAAATGCATGTAAGGAACGTAAGTTATGTAAATAGTTATGTACGCTATGAACTATAATGTAGTATTTGGCAGAAACAAATGGCAGCAAAATGGAAACAGCTCTAATTGTGATGAATACAGAACAGGGCAGAAATTGCTGCCTTCTCACATGTCTAACCTGGAGACTGAACCTCGATTTAACTATGACTAAACCAATGATTGGCTCCGAACCACTGATTGAACTGAACCTGGAACCTTCTGAGTGCAAAGCAGATGCTCTGCCTCTGAGCTATGACCTCGTGGAGGCAAAGGAAATTATCTTCCATTGCATCAGACCATTGGCCCATCTAACAGAATTTTATACATTGACTGCAATGGTTCTCCAGGATTTCAGGCAGCAGGGTGTGTGTGTGGGGGGGACGACTGGTCTTTCCCAGTTATAGCTGGAGATACTGTGGATTGAACCAGGAATCTTCTGCATGCAAAGAAGGTGCTCTACTGCTGATGTGATACACCAAAAGCTCAAGAGAATAAGAATGGTTTTAACTTGATGCTTAATGAGCATAAGGGCAGGCGCTAGCTAAGTGTCTTCAAGCAAGGTGTTCCATTGAGGTACCACAGGGCAGGTCCTATCTCAGATGGCCACCCTGAGCAGATCCTCAGGTGAAAATCTGAGGTATCTAGATACAGAGTTGGAAGGAACCTCACCTCAGATGTCATCTAGTGCAGGAAATCGTCTTCTACAGCACCCCAGATAAGTTGCCACCCACCCTTTGTATCAAGTAAAGCAAAGTCTGCCACCTTTCAATGCTATCTGTTCCACTGCTGCCCAACAGCTCATCCCACCAGTTTCTTCTTCCTGATCTCTGCCTTGTTCAGCAGTCACAGTGGGCAAAGGCAGTCAGCAGTCAGATGGAGGACCAAGAGAATGTAGACTAGTTTAAGCCACAGGTTAAAGCACACCTATGGGGTCTATGGGACGTGGGTGGCGCTGTGGTCTAAACCACAGAGCCTAGGGCTTGCCGATCAGAAGGTTGGCGGTTCGAATTCCTGTGACAGGGTGAACTCCTGTTGCTCAGTCCCTGCTCCTGCCCACCTAGCAGTTCGAAAGCACATCAAAGTGCAAGTAGATAAATAGGTACCGCTCCAGCGGGAAGGTAAACGGCATTTCCATGCGCTGCTCTGGTTTGCCAGAAGTGGCTTAGTCATGCTGGCCACATGACCCGGAAGCTGTACGCCGGCTCCCTTGGTCAATAAAGCGAGATGAGCTCCACAACACCAGAGTCGGCCACGACTGGACCTAATGGTCAGGGGTACCTTTACCTTTACGGGATCTACTTTGTTTTAACCAGAGGTTCCCCCGGCTGGACTCAGGAAGGTCTTAGTGATTAACTGTGGAACTGGTGCCTGCACTACACTGTGATAGCCAGCAATTTGGATGGCTGTAAAAGGGGGCTAGACAAATCCATGGATGGTAAGGAGGCTATCAATGGCTACATCTTGATGACTATATTGCCATAGAATACAACAAGAAATGTTGTATGAATGTCAGAATCTAGCTAGGATTTGTGGTATGAATGAAAAACTCAAGCTGCAGAACTGTACCAGACAAGGAATACCAGGGCTCCCTTATGCAATCCAACCTGACCAGGCTACGGTAGTTAAGAGCAAAGCCATTAACAGACAAATGTGGTGACTGCTGGTCATTAGCACATCAAAGGAAAGGTCTCAGGTCTGTGGAAGGCAGGGGTTGCCAAGGTGATGGAGCAGGCTGTGCTCACAGGGAAAAAAATATGCCTCTAAAAAACTAGGCCTGTGATAGGAGATGGATGGGGAGAAGTTGCTTGGATGAGGTGTATGCTGAGAAGAAGACACAGAAATAGATGCAACAGTCTTGGCTGTCTGGCTGAAAGCTGTCTGGGAGAGATGCCTTCGACTCCAGGGCTGCACTGCTATGGGGAACAAGCCCCTCTTGAGATGACCAGGCTGTAAGACCCCAACTCCCTCCATCTAAATTCAGGTGTAACGAAATCATATTTTTAAAAACTACAACAGCCACTGCAGCATCTTGATTCTCAAAGGAACACAGACCCTGGGTGGGCACCAGGAACCCCCCAAGAATCTTGCCATAGCTCGGCAGAGTTTGGGGATGGCGTCCAACCTTTGTAACAGTATTCTACCACCGGGATTATAGGTGATGTGCCTTTGAATACCAGCTGCTGGGGATCACAAGTGGAAGAAGAAGAGTTTGGATTTGATATCCCGCTTTATCACTACCCTAAGGAGTCTCAAAGTGGCCAACAATCTCCTTTCCCTTCCTCCCCCACAACAAACACCCTGTGAGGTGAGTGAGGCCGAGAGACTTCAGAGAAGTGTGACTGGCCCAAGGTCACCCAGCAGCTGCAGGTGGAGGAGCGGGGAAGCGAACCCGGTTCACCAGATTACAAGCCCACTGCTTTTAACCACTACACCACACTGGCTAGTTTCCTGCTTGTGAGTCCACAGTGGCTGGCCACTGAGAAAACAGAACACTGGATCAGATCCCTGGGGAAAAACAGTATAATCTAGTCTGAAGACAGACTGAGGTTGGTGGGGCATTGGGTTCTTCACCGTAATAAAGCAGCCTTCCCCAGGTACAGGAACACGCCAGTGTTGCTCATATTGCTCAAACAAGGCGTAGCTGGAGCGGAGAGCACTCTTGTTCTCCTTCATGTGCAGGAGGATCCCATGCGCAGCTCACAGAGAAGGTGCAACCTGCAATTCAATGTTTCATACAGATCTAGCAGCTCCTGACAGTTGCACCATTTCAGGCTGCTTGTGGGAGAATCGTATGACTGAATGTTCCTCCACCCACCCACCTGGCTACCTGGAAAACTAGAAAACCCCTACACCTAGAAAACCAGCATGTCAGGAAGGGAGGCTCTAACCAAAAGCATCTTAAGAGAGCCAGTGTGGTGTAGTGGTTAAGAGCAGTAGACTCGTAATCTGGTGAACCGGGTTGGCTTCCCCGCTCCTCCACATGCAACTGCTGGGTGACCTTGGGCTAGTCACACTTCTCTGAAGTCTCTCGGCCTCACTCACCTCACAGAGTGTTTGTTGTGGGGGAGGAAGGGAAAGGAGAATGCTAGCCACTTTGAGACTCCTGAAGGAGAGTGAAAGGCGGGATATCAAATCCAAACTCTTCTTCTTCTTCATCTTGCTTACACGCCAGCTTTCTGTGAGAAGAAATCTTTTCTTTTGCATGGAGGAGCATTCAGTTATGTTGACTGCTACATGCCATTTGAAGAGGTATAGCCCACTTACAGGTGCACTACATTAGCTGAGGGCTATGCCTAGAGAGAGAGAGAAATAAGTAAATATTGTAACTCATCCTACTATTTTGCTCCCAGGTGAATTTGATTTCTCTCCCCCCCCCCCACTGACCCAGAGAACAAAAACGAATTTGGGTTTTGCTGGCAGTGACAGCCAGTGTTTTGACAACAAAGCGTCTCTCACTCTCTTACTCTGACTTCTGTCCTAGAAATAGCATACTGTGATTAATCTATTCCTGGCTTTGTTCTCATCACAACAAGGGGACTTTGTCTATGGAGCTGTTTGTTTCCTGCCTTGGAAGAGGTTCCTGCAGCCTGCAAAACAAAAGTCACACAAATAGCTCTGATTGTGGAGACAGAGAGAGAAAGAGAAAAGGAGAAAGAGAGAGAGAGACAGAGCCTTGCCCAGACTGGATGCAAATGGTGGTCAGCTCTGACAAGGGTTGCTAACATCTCTTGCCTGTCCTGGAGCACTCATGCTAAGCTGCATTACCGGTTGGTCATGGGCTTGCTTCATTTAGCCGAAGAAGAAAGTTCTGGTGCAACACAGAGATCACAAGCTTCTGCCATTCCTTGGCCCTCCCCTGACCACCTCTGTTTACATGATAAAATAGGATTAATCCCAGCTGATTGCACATGGTGCTGTTGGCCACATAGCTCCTTTGGCTATGCTTGGCCGGCAAAGATCATCAGCAAGGCAGAAGATGAAAGGCAGGCCAATCTTCCCCAGCCTAATGCCTTCCAGATGTTGTTGGACTTTACCTCCCTTCAACCCTGACAATTGGTTGTGCTGGTGGGAGCTGATGGGTGTCCAGCAACATCTGGAGGGCCACAGGTGTCCTGCAGTCCCTGGCATGCTTTTGGAAGTCAAGCAATGGAGTGACATTCTATGTCTTACTAAAGAGAAGTAGACCTCCCCACATCAGAAGCTTTGTTCAATCCCTGGTATCTCCAGGCATCTCCAGGTAAGGCTGGAGGCAGCCCTGTATAGGGAAGTTTTTAATGTTTAATGCTTAATGTTTATTATGTTTTTGTATATTCTGGAAGCTGCCCAGAGTGGTTGGGGTGGGGTACAAATAATAAAGTTGTTGTTGTTAATATTAGAAATGCTATTGGGTGACAGGGAAAAGGCGGAACTACTCAACACCTACTTTGCCTCTGTCTTCACCCAAAAGGAAAGTGATGCCCAACCTGGTGATAACATAACAAATGACGTAAGGAGGGAGCTGCAATCCAAGATAGGAAAAGAGGTAGTAAGGGAACACCTAGATACTTTAAATGCATTCCAATCTCCAGGGCCTGATGAGCTGCATCCAAGGGAACTAAAGGAGCTTGCGGATGTAATTTCAGAGCCTTTGTTTATGATCTTTGAGAAATCTTGGAGAACAGGTGAGGTCCCTATAGACTGGAGGCAGGCAAATGTTGTCCCCATCTTCAAAAAGGGGGGAAACGAAGACTCAAGTAACTACCGACCGGTGAGCTTGACTTCAATACCAGGGAAGGTCCTAGAACCAATAATTCAACAGTTGGTCTGTGAGCACTTAGAAAAGGATGCTGCAATTACTAAGAACCAACAAGGGTTTCTCAAAAATAAGTCACATCAAACGAACCTCATTTCTTTTTTTGGATGGAATTGCAAGTTTGGTGGATCAGAGAAATGCTGCAGACATAGTGTATCTTGATTTCAGTAAGGCTTTTGACCAAGTCCCCCTTGATATTCTTGCTGGGTCATGGGATTATTTGGAGTATTGAAGGGAAGATTATAGGCCAGTGGAAAAATACAGACTAAGCTTCCATTCCAAACCAGAGCCTCACCTGGGATAGAGTCGTTAACATGACAAAAGGTGTTGATGACCCATCTAAGAGAAATCTTGGGCCTGGGCAGACAGAAGGTTGCCGGGCTAACTGAGTGGGAAGTGACAGGAAAAGAGGGTCTTTCGCAAGGTGTGCTGGGAAGAAGAGGGGAGAGAACAGACAGAGATCCATCTTGGGCAGGCTGGCTGAAGACATGTATTGCATGCCAGTGCTGCACTGCTGTAGGGAACAAGACCCACTCGAAAGGACCATGCTGTAACATCTGGACCCTACCCCCATGCAGACTGAAGTGTAAACAGGCAAATAAACCATATTACTTAAAGCTATGACACTCAGTCATGTCTTCAATTCTCCAAAGAAGCACAAACCCTGGGTAAGTGCATGGAACCTCCTGGAATCTTACTACTGACTTCTGTAAGAATATGAAGACCCATGTCTAGTCCTGTTGGCATCCTGTTCTCGCAGTGGCCAACCAGACATCTGCAAACAGGACCTGAGCATGATAGCAATTTCCCCCCCCACTTGCAATTCCCAGAAGCTGTTATCCACTGCCTCCAACACCAGAGAGAGATCATGGCTATAGTGACTGATATCGGGTGGCACTGTGGGTTAAACCACAGAGCCTAGGACTTGCTTATCAGAAGGTTGGAGGTTCAAATCCCCGCGACGGGGTGAGCTCCCATTGCTCGGTCCCTGCTCCTGCCAACCTAGCAGTTCGAAAGCACATCAAAGTGCAAGTAGAGAAATAGGTACCGCTCTGGCAGGAAGGCAAACGGCGTTTCTGTGTGCTGCTCCGGTTCGCCAGAAGCGGCTTAGTCATGCTGGCCACATGACCCAGAAGCTATACGCCGACTCCCTCGGCCAATAAAGCGAGATGAGCGCCGCAACCCCAGAATCGGCCGCGACTGGACCTAATGGTCAGGGGTCCCTTTACCTTTTTACCCATTGAGAGCATTCTCTACTAATTTGCCTAATCCCTTTTTTGAAAAGCCATCCAAGCTGGCAGCCATCACTGCATCTTCTGGGAGTGAATTCCGAAGTTGAACTATGTGATGTATGAATAAGTATTTCACATGGGAAGCTCCATTCTGGTTGCCCTTTTTGGTAGCTGTTCCAACTCTACAATATCCTTCATGATCTAGGGAAAACCAGAACTGTAAACAGCATTCCCAGTGTGGTCTTCAGCAGAGAACTGTGTAACAAGATTGTGGTACTGGCAGTTTTATTTTCAATTACTTTCCTAATGATCCCTAAAATGGAATTTGCCTTTTTTTCACAGCTGTCGCCACTGGGTCAACATCAATCCATCCATTACAACCCCCAAGGTTTCATTCCTGGTCAGTCACCACCAGCTCAAATTAGGATTGTTTGCCCAATGGGCATCACTTGATGCTGTTACACAGAACTGCATTTGCCACTTTACTGTTCACCAAGTTCAGAGAGATCCTTTTAGAGCTTCTTGCAACTCTTTTTGGTTTAACCATCCTGAATAATTTAGTGCCGTTAGCAAATGTGGCTACCCCACTGCTCACCCCTAACTGCAGATTATTTATGAACGAGTTAAAAAGCACAGGCTCCAATACCAGTCCTCATGGGACTCCACTTTCTATAATCCCTCCATTGCCAGAGTGCCTGGTACCCAAGTGAGGCCAACAATAGATAGAGAGAACTATTGAAAGGCAGAGGCAATTAATTCCAGTTTTGTTCCCATCTTCCTCCCTCTTGAGTTCTACAAGGGACAACACTGAGATCAAAGAGGAGGAAGGGCCACCCCTGCCCCTCCAGACTGGTTACAAGGCAGGCTGGTGGGGTGTGTTTTGGTAGATAGATATTGATGGGGCAGTGCTTGCTTTGCCCAAATGGAATGGTCTCCCCTGTTCCACTGGGGAACAGGTCAATTTATTCCAATTCAGTGACCCACACATCAAAAATATGTGGCAGGCAAGTGTCTGCTGAAAGTATAAGCAATGTCTGTAAGCGTACCATAATGCAGGGTGCGACGATTTTTGGGGGGAGAAAGCAAACACCAGATTGAGGAGAGGGAGATCTTCATTTTGATCAACAGGTTGAGGTAGTAAACAAAGGGGAGAAATTTACCCAGAAAGCATATTCTTTTTGCTTCTTCCCACCTTCCAAATCAACTTAGAGGATGCTTAGTACAAAAGCACCTAGACCTACTTGTCTGCAATTTGGCAGGGTTCCTACTCAGAGGTACCAGTTTCTTTGCAGTAAAATACTATGGCATGCTCTAGTAGCACCCTGCATTGCAGATCCTACATGGAGCACTGGGTTGGACTAGATGCGCTCCAGGAATCCTTCCAACCCTAAAATTCTATGATCCTACTGTCTGAATTGAGCTACATTTGACTGAGATCATGGAGGCTCTGTGCAAGTAGGTGGGGCTGTTCAGGTAAAAACCCATGTCCATAAAAGCAGCATTTAAAAACCAGGCCTGAGAAGAGATGGCCACTTGTGTCCTCGATGTGCAGGCTGGGCGGAGCTTCCTGCCCTGGTATTTTAATGATCGGCTCCCAGTTCTGGTTTGTTTAATGTTGGCTTTTCTGCTACCTTTACTTTGCATGGTTATTTCTGGCAAAGGGGAGACTAAACCTTCAGTGGGCGTTCGGCATGTCAATAGCTATAATTAGGTTTCCATGCGGTTCTGCATCAGCTTGGACGATCTGTAATTTTCTAGAGGGTGGTCTTTGTTGGGTTGAAAAAACAGAGCAAACACAAAGCGACGCATAAAGGTGAGCTCAAAGAAAGTTGATTGATGCACCAGTAACAGGCTGGAGGGAACATGGTGCTTGTGGGCATCAGCGCCTGGCACACTTTGCTGAAAACGCCTGCAGCACTTTCTCTGCCACCACCTTCCCACAACTTTCCATTATTAAAAAAGTCAGGATGAAGAGGGGTGAGAGAGCAGTGTGGACAAACTATTTATTATTTCACCTATTTGCCTTCTACAGAAGTAGAGCGTGTGGGATGGGCAAGGTGATGTTTGCATTCCACATGGTGGAGATTTTTAAATACACACAGCAACCCACCCACTTATAATTCCCCAGAAATTTACAGAAAAAGGTGCATTTTTAAAAGTGCAGCTAGAAATTTGCAGACAGCTCTGGGAAGCTTAATCTGAGGCATGTTTTACTTCACTTCACCCCATAAATTGGTCATAAAGAAGCAAGTGTCATTAAGCATGTGCAGAGTTTGTTTCCCTTGCCATCCAGTAACTGCTAAGTGAGGGATGTGATTAACCCTTCATTCACTGCCAATGTTTGCATCATTCACACACAACTCAAAGCTGTGAGAAATTTGGATCCTGCCCCCCCCTCCCGTGGCATAGCAAGATCAGATGGTACCTGGTGCAGAAAACTTCTTGTCACCCCCCCCACACACATTGAAATTATTAAAAGACGAAAAAATAAGATACTTATAGTTGCAAGTGTTATTTTTTTGGTTTATTTACTTAACATTGTGAGCATAAGCACTTAAAACCGTTTTTCACGACGGGAATTTCTTATGAATGATTACTATTTTTTACTTAATTTCGCTATTTTGCAGCCTACTATTGATGCGGAGTCCAGGAAGCTGAGGTGCTGTGTGAGTACCACAGCAGAAAACAAGCACCAGTGTGGATATGCCCCCACTCTTAAAGAGCTTACCTAGAATACAAGAAGAGCCAGTGGTGGAGGAAGGGGGGTACGGGCCGCCCCGAGTGTCAGCACTGAGGGGGTTAACAAAACGGCAGAAATATGAGCGGGTTTTTTTTTTGAAAAAAATTGGGCTCACAAAACTTTCTAGTTCAGTCAACAAACGTAACAAAATGCGGCTGGCACTGGGCGCCACACCATGGGGGTCAGCACTTACCACGGGGCCTGCAACGTGCCCAAGCCACACGTCTCTCCTGGGAGTGACGTGGTGGTTTGGGGGCCTGCAGGCTCCATGATGCCTAAAACGGCAGTGTGGAACACGCAGCAGCCCTTCGCCTCTCCTTCCGCCGCCCTACAGCTGAGGCGGAGGCAGCGGAGAGGCTCTACGCAGCACGACTTGCCTCCATTTGTGGCTCGCCCCAACCCCGGCTGCAGGATGCGCGTGCCACACCCAGCACTCAAGTGGCTAGCTACACCGCTGAGAAGAGCTCTGCTGAATCCCATCTAGTATCCAAACAAACCCCTGTCTTGCAAAGAGAACGTCAATAATGTCTAGGCAACACGATGACCATATACATAGGTAACAGACAATCTTTATAGAATTCCTTCAAATCATAAAAAGTTCAAAATGAAATCTTTAGTCTCAAAGTCTCTGAAAACCTTTAAATGAAGCGAGGTACCAAACTTTGTATGGTGGAAGACAAGCTGTGAAGCTTTGTGTATTCAACAATGATGTCCAACACTGAACAGTAATTCTGGATATTGACTACTGTTTCATTGAATTCTTCATCAGCGTGGTGGGTGGATATATATATACCGTATTTTTCGCTCTATAGGACTCACTTTTTCCCCTCCAAAAATTGAGGGGAAATGTGTGTGTATCCTATGGAGCGAATGCAGGCTCCTTGGCTTCAGCGATAGCAACACGAAGCCTCCAAAGCTCAGAGGGATAGCCATCTGAAGGCCTTCGGAGCGCAGCACAAGTTCCCGCTGCGTTCTGGAGGCTTCAGGTTTCTTTCGCTGAAGCCAGGAGAGTCTTGCTCTCCCGGCTTCAGCAAAAGGAACCCGAAGCCTGAGGAGCGCAGCGGGAACTTGCGCTGCGCTCCGAAGGCTTCAGGGATACCCGCACGCAGCCCCTCCGGCCGAGAGAGGCTGCACGCGGCTATGGCTTCTTTAGCCCTGCGCAGCCTGTCCCAGCAGGGAGAGGTTGCGGGGGGCTAAAGAGGAAGCCAAAACAGCGAGCGGGATCCATCCCGCTCACTGCCTTGGCTTGTGCCATAGCCGTGCGCAACCCCTCCGGCAGGGAGAGGTTGCACGCAGCCTGTACGCTGCTCTTTGGGGCTGGGGGGGGAATAAGATTTTTTTCTTGATTTCCCCCCCTCAAAACTAGGTGCGCCCTATAGTCCGGTGCGCCTTATGGAGCGAAAAATACAGTATAGGGTACCTCACTTCATTTAAAGATTTTCAGAGACTTTGAGACTAAAGATTTCATTTTGAACTTTTTATGATTTGAAGGAATCCCATCTAGAACAGAATCCTGTTCTCACAGTTGCCAGCTAGATGCCTAGAGGAAACACTCAAGCACATACCTTCCAATACATTTTTTTTTAAATATTTTTTTTAAATGATATTTATTAAGATTTCCAATAAAAAGAACACATCAATAAAAAAAATAAAAAAGAAAAAAGAAAAATACACAATTCAAAAATACACAATACATAATCCAAAAAAACACAAAAAACAAAAGACAAAAAAGAAAATTACCCACCAGCAGGATCTTGCACCTTTGCTAGTGCTGCATACAAATATTTGAAATGCAGAATATTATTGCATCCTGCCCTATGCCCCTCCCCAGTTGTGCGGCAACTGAAATGTCTATGGGTGCTTCCAGCTGGGGGGCTTCCTTCCAGCTTCCCCACCCGCCATCCGCCTACCCCCAACAGGGCACCCTGGCTACGCCACCTGGAGCCTCTCAGCGGCCTGGTCTCCCCACCCCCTGCGTGCCACTGGCGGTCTATGAGGAGAGGCAGGCAGGCAACGCGCCGCAGCCCTGCCTCCTTCGCCACCACCTCTTCTTTTCCCTCCTCCTCCTCCTCCTCCTCCTGCAATAGCAGCAGCGCCGCCCCCACCCTCTCCCTCAGTCGCTTTGAGGCAGCTGCCCAGGCAGGAGTGGTGCAGTGTCCCTTACCTTGGTGGAAAAAATTGCCACACATATTTTTGCCTTTTTGTCACCCCCCCCCCAGTGATGACACCCGGGCAGCACACATCCACTGCACCCCCCTTCCTATGCCTCTGCCTTCAGATGTCTTCTAAAAGTCAGATAGTTGTTTATTTCCTTGACATCTGAGGGCGTTCCACAGGGCAGGCGCCACCACAGAGAAGGCCCTCTGCCGGGTTCCCTGTAACCTCATTTCTCACAGTGAGGGAACCACCAGAAGGCCCTCGGAGCTGGACCTCAGTGGGTGGGGGTAGAGCTGAACGATGGGGGGGGGGGAGAGAACTCCTTCAGGTATACTGGGCCGTTCATGGGGTAGTGCTGGATTAAACCCTGTGGAGGCCTCTGTGTGGTCACAACAACCCTGTAAAGCAGGCCAGCTATGTGCTCACCAAATTGCAGCTGAATCCCTCGCGGATTGGCATCCAACCTCTGCTTAAAAGCCTCCAAGGAAGGAGAGTCCACCAGTGTCCCAGAGAGCCTTACCATCAGAAAGTTCTTCCTGTTTAGTCCGAATCTCCTCTCTGGAGCAGCAGAAAAGAAGCTTGCTCCCTCTTGCAGCCCTCAGATATTGGAAGATGGCTCTCCCCTCTCCTCTCAGTCTCCTCTTCTCCAGGCTAAACATACCCAGCTGCCTCAACTGTTCCTCATGGGGCTTGGTTTCCAACTGCCTCAACCGTTCCTCATCAGGCTTGGTCCCTTCATCACCCTGGTCACCCTCCTCTGCTCACCTTCCAGCTGCTCAATATCCTTCTTCAACTAGCCTGCACTGACTGACAGCAGCTCTCCAGGGTTTCAGATGCAAAGCAGATGGCCCAATCTTGCGCTATGGAGACCCCCTAGCCTGCCTTGAAGGATGTGGGGATGGTCTCCCTTTGGAAATGGGGCGGCAGGAAGAAGGATGTGAAATGAAGATGCAGCCCAGCTGCAGGCAGAACAGCAGGTGCCTCCAAGTTCTGACAGTGGAGCATCACCTCCCAGGAGGGGCCAGGTCCAGGTGGGGGGGTTGCCACGGTGACAAGGACCTGCCCTCCTTTGTGACATCTCTTGCTTCTCCCTTAAAAGCCATAGACTTACAGGTGGCCATTGTGGGTTAGTAGTGAGGCAAGTTGAGTAGTAGAGAGAGGTGGTGTTGGTGGTTGGAGATGATTAGGAGAGGTGTTCATTTGATTGTTATTTTTATTTTTATTTGATTTATTACTTTTATTTGATTTTATTTATTTTGATTTTATTATTTTACTTTTTTATTTTACTACTTTTATTTCACTTTTTATTTTTATTTTTTGTTCTCTATTTTCATATTTTTGATTTTACATTTTTATTTTGTGCACATTTGTGAACATTTTGTATATATTTTGTATATATTTATTTTGTGCATAGAGGAGTAGTTAGGGGTAAGCGTTGGGTTAGGGCTGGGGTTGAGGTGGGGTCAGAGTTAGGCTTGGGTGGGCATTTTAGATAGTTAGCTAGTTTAGAGAAGAGGGTGGAAACTTTTCGTGAACAAAATGTGCAGACTGTAAGTAGCATTCCTTTGATTTCTCTTGGTCTCCTGGGGGCGGGGTGTGAGTCCTGGGGTCCCCTGCACAGCCTTAGCTCTTTGGAAATCGACCTGGCCAGTCTTCTCCAGAGAGCTCAGCTCCTCCACACTCTTTCCCTGCCTTCCCCTTTTCTCTCCCCTCTCATCATTTACATTTACTAGGACATTCCTACCCCACTTTCCTCCCAGGAGCTCAAGGTGGCCTTCATGGTTCTCCCTGCCACCAGTTGTTATCTTCACAGCAGCCCTGCAAAGTAGGTTAGGCTGGCCCAAGGTCCACCAGGGAGCTTGCGTGGCTGAGTGGGGATTCGAATTTATTGTATGCATTGTATCTTTATAGTGTATTTCATATTCACATGTATTAATGTGGCTCACACTTTGGGGGGTTTTGGGTGGTATATAAATAAAAAAACCATGCCATATCATGCCATGTATGTTGCTGTGTGCATAGGATATGTTGCTGTATGTTGCTGTGCATGTTAGCATGGGGTGCTGCTGTGACGGCTTCTGCACACGTTTGTGTTCATGTGTGTCAGAGAGATGGAAAGGGAAGGAGGAGCTACCAAGATTTCAGCTGATCAGCCGTCTCTCTGGTTTGACTGGTGCCACCCCAGACCCCACCGTCCTGGGAATTGCAGTTTGTTAAGGATGCGTGGAATTGTAGCTCTGCGAGGGGGAAACTTCAGTTCTCAGGATCCTTTGGGGGGAGTAATGTGCTTTAATTGCTCTTTGTGTTTTAAATTAAGGTTACCAGACGTCCCAGTTCCCCGGGGACAGTCCCCGGATTTACAAATCAGTCCCTGACAAAATCCTATCATTCCTACTGAAGTTGAAAAGTGTCCCCGGATTCATTGAACCTTATTTTAAATATATGGTGTGGACCTGACATAAAAGTTGTAGAGCAGAATAATATGAGACTATAGTGAATGTTTTCTGCTTACAGTGTAAAAGTTAAGTCAGGCACCTGATGTTTTACAATTCTCATGCTTTTTATTGCATGCATAAATATATGCCATAACTCTTCACTTACACATAAGGTTTCAACGTTCCTAGAATAACTGATTCCTAATAGTGAATGTTATCTAAACTTCAGTCTCTTTTTTTATGTATAATGATTTATAGTCTACCGTCAAGTCTGAGAAGTGGAAATAAAGGATGAAAAGCCATGTCTGTCTGCTGATTCCGAATCAGATAGTAATAAATCACAGTAACATGTCAGAGGGGAACTGTGACCTTGAAAACATGGGTTGTGACACCATATTCACTTGTCTCTGTGCCGTATGTTATGAGATACGAGGTCATAAAACTGGCACTGTATTTGTAGTTCCAGTTTACTCTGCCAAAGGTTATCCCTTCAACAGGGATTTTAACAGAAACCCAATGTACAACGTACTTGCTGCAACTGGCTGTGTGACTACAAGCCTTACTGGTCTGAAAAGAATTCCCATAACTAAAACTGTACCTTCCCTTTTTGCTCTATGGAGATGCCTGCATATTACGTGATTTAATAATATTAATAATAATAATAATTTTTATTTATACCCCGCCCTCCCTGGCCAGAGCTGGGCTCAGGCGGCTGAAACCAATAAAATCACAGTAAAAACATAATGGGGGAGGGGGAACCAGTTTAAAATACAGGTTAAAATGCAATTTAAAATGTAGCCTCATTTTAAAAGTAGCTGATAAATCAAGACCATAAGGGGAGGGAAACATAAGGGTCAGACTGAGTCCAAACCAAAGGCCAGGCAGAACAGCTCTGTCTTGCAGGCACTGCGGAAAGATGTCAAATCCCGCAGGGCCCTGGTCTCTTGTGACAGAGCGTTCCACCAAGTCGGGGCCAGTACTGAAAAGACCCTGGCTCTAGTTGAGACCAATCTAACCTCCTTGAGGCTTGGGACCTCCAAAGTGTTGTTATTTGTGGACCTTAAGGTCCTCTGCGGGGCATATCAGGAGAGGCGGTCCCATAGGTATGAGGGTCCTAGGCCATCATTAGAATGCCATCATCTGCCCCCCCCCCCCCAAGTCTCAGGCTGGTAGAAGCCCCGAATTTGTGCTGGGTTTTGTGATGTCCAGCTATTTGATGCAGAGCCTCCTGCTGAAAAACCTGGGGTTTTTTTGAATAAAATATTTTGCATATTGTCATATGCGTTGCAGTAGGAGGGGGCCCTGATCTGAAGAATGTTGGAATATGGCTCCCAGATCTCTTGGCTGTGCCTCCATGGGAAGTGCCCCACAGCTCTCGGCAGAAGTACTTGTGCTTTGGGTACCTCTGAGAAATCCTTTTTATTGTGCCCTGGGATGGAAGGATCTTTCAATCTTGGTGCTCTCAGGTTCTCATTTTTACAATCTTAAAAGCACTT